TTTTCTTTAGTCGATATTAATGATAATGATGAAGCAAATAATTTTATGAAAAACGTACCAGAATCAATCTTTTTTTCATTACGTATTACCAACCGGTTTTTTGTGAAATGAATTTGCATTTGACTTTTTCGCATTATGTCATATAATGTTAAATTGGGTCTTTTTTTCATCTTAGATACAATATAGTGCAGTCATATCGATTTTGTGAACTACTCTGTTCATTTTTGTACAGACATTTATTGACACGTACCTATATTTGTTTGTTTGTTTGTTCACTAATCGACAGTCACCTACTTTAGAATACCGTAACTTCTAACACAATACTTCTCAATATGCATTTGAATCTTATTTTTTCGGAGAAAGAGATTCCATTTAGTGGTTCTTCATCTTTCCATTTCGTCATAGTCTATTAATATAATATATTTATGTAATATGTGTCAACAACCTTAGACAATTAATTCATTGTTTCCTCCTCTTCTAACTCTTTGGTTTTTAATTTTTTATGTCAGGTTGAATTTAAACTAATATTTCATTATTTGTTATTATTATTGTTGTCCATCTCTGTCAGATTATTATCTTTGTTGTTATCATTATAGTAAGTTACAGCTTGTTGTTAATAATTTCATCAATTCTATTCTCGTAATTTCATTCATTTTTACCATAAATAAAAAAAAATATACACCGAAGTTGGGTTTCCGTGTGTATATTTATCTATTATCTTGTATACGCTGAAATCTATTTACCTCGTCCTATATTGCATCTTTACTCTAATTAAAGTTCTATCTTTTCTGTGTAGATACCGTTTTGCTTTTAGTTTGACTTGTTTTCACCTTCTCTTAAACTGGGCTATTATTTTGTTTCAGTGCAATCTATGTCAATTGTTAGTATTCATTATGTATGCTACACACACACTATGTACACACAAGTGCAACCGATAAAAATTGTTCTTTTTTTCGCCTTGATTTTTTCTGACTTCATATTCCGTTTACTAACCTACCTCTAGGAAAAGTATCATATTTTGTCTTCTATGTATATGTCCTTTAAAATAGCACAATTTTTCCGCCTGTATATGCGTAACAGTTTGCTTATCCAATTTTTTCGGTAGGCATTTTTCCCGACTTTCACCAGTTTGTAAAAGACAAATACACTGATTGGTTTCATCATTCTTGATCTTAATTGTTACAATATTTTTTTTCTGTCTTAGTCCCGTCAAATCAGTTTTCTTTAGATCATTCTGGTAATTAATTCATTCTAACTAATAAAGTATATATATATATATATATATGCGTATACCTGTGGCTCAATGCATTTTCTTATTATAGTTGCTATCACTGATCATTAAGTTTAATTTATTTTATGAAAACAGCTAATAAACTGCTTACTGTTCTCACTTTACTTATGATACCTTATATATACCGGGTTACAATATATCTTTAACATCCAGATACATAAATGCATGCAGTGTTACAACAAAGTATGTGAATCAAAACTTCATGTAAATATTATCATTTTGTGTTGATTTTTATTCCTACTTTATATTATTTCTTATTCTCCATTGAAATATGATCAAAACTATGTAGACGAAGTTATTTTTTAATTTCATCTCTATGAAATCGTTCTGTTTTCTTCAGATGAACGTTTACATATTCTGTATGTGTCTCCCTGTATTCTTATGTATGTGTGTTATATGTTGTTAAATGGATGTGCCCATTTGTTTTGCTTGTTTATTGGAGAGTATGTGTTATTATGTAAAGAGAAAATAATCTCTAATTTAAGTATACAACTATTATTAATACTACTGTTGCATTTTAATCGAGTTCTCTGTTTTTGTTTTCTTGTTCAATTTTATTTTGTTTTTTTATATATATAGCTATAATGATGATTTTCCTTTATTACGTTTATGCGGATAGGATTATTTTTCTGTGTGAATTCATTAGCATAAATATTTTCAAGATAAATGTTAGTTTGGTTTAGGCATAACACCTACAGTTTATAAAGCTGCGAACTATTCTTACGACTGCATGAACATTTCTACTTATTCTCGAAACCTATAGTTGGACGATTTTAGAGGACATCACTTTAAAGTTATGTTAAGGACAATACTATTTCATCAACTTTTATTTGGTGTTTAAACTATTTATGATCTCGAGTTAACAACTCTTCATTTGTGTCAGTGTAAACACTCATGTCGAGCAGCCAGTCACATGCAACGTAAAATTTGGCTCATGTGTTTATCGGTTTTATTTGTGATACCCAATAGGCACAGTGAAATGAAATTGTCAAGGCAAATCCCAGGGTAGCAGACATAGTAACAGTATGAGTGGTAATAGGAAAGATTAGTCATAGAAGATACTATTCGTTAAGAAAGTATGGGTTGGTGAAATAAAACGATTATCAGGTAATTTATAAACGTCGGATCTGCGCTTTTGAGAACGGTTTTCAGCCGTTACCCAACATTTAAGCATTGGTTACAATGATTAAACAGACCTCAACCACGTCTGCAACTACCTACATGGTTCTTGTACAGTCAGTTTCTTCGTGGGTTGATGCCATATCCTGGTGTGACTGCCCCTAGCTTCTGTCGTCACGCACCGAGTTAGCTGGGGAATGGACATTCGTAATACCATCTCAGTCGATAAAGGTTACCTCACCAATCGGTCTGTCGTTTTTACCTGGCGCCCTCTGTCGAGCGTCAGAAGTTCTAACTCGATGATGCCAATATATACGAGTAACAGTCCAAAGGCATCTTTAACTGAATACTAGTGACCTAAAAATATCTGTTTAAGGGCCGAGTTGTATGACAATAATTAAAACAAACTGCTGCGTTGTATATTCGTCCTTTAGCTGAGAAATGGATATTTCACCTCGGCCAGTTTATAAAGTCTGACCGAGATTAATTCGTACGATCAAGTAACGGCTCTATCATTCACGTGGTAAATGCCTCATAACTAGTTATACACACCTGCATAGTTATTGTTATTCAGTTTCTAACGCACGTACCCATATATAATTTTCTTACTTTCTAGTTTTCAAATTGCACATTAGCTCAGTCCATGTAAATGCTCAAAACTTGTATGCTTTTACGAAGTTTTGCATGAGATTATAAAGTATGTTACATGTACTAACTGGGAAGTTTCTCAGTATGTACAAGGAGGAACCTAGTTGTATTTTCAGCATCCTGTCGGTCTACTTTGAGATACATAGTAACACTAGTACTCCCGGAATCCATTGGGTCATGTGTTCGCGTCTTATCGAGTCATCAGTCTTCATACGATTGATGTTGCGTTAGACGTAGTTCAAGGTTTTGTATGGAGTTTATGAATAATGATTTTATGACTGAAATAATACGTTGCAAACCCAACATTTAATGTTTATTAAATGGGATCATTTAGATGCTCTGAAAAAGTTAAATGGCCACATGGTCAGTGCTTTTGCAATCGCCTACTTAACCTATTGTTTGATTTTCGACAACATAATAGGAAACTCCAGCACACTTGTCATTTTTTCTGGTAATTTTAGGATACTAATCAATAAAGTCGGGTTACTGATAGGATTGAAAAGAAGTGTATCGAACCGAGCTGGGTCCAAGGCTAGCTACCATTCCACCAACAAGTGTAGATGAGCATTGGTTGCAATTGCATGACACCATGAAAATGGCGAGTAAATTCGCTTTCGGCTTCGCGCAATCTCCTGCAAGCTCCTTCAGCTTATCCGAATCACTATCGGCAAGAAGTCTGGTGTGAGCGAAACAATCTGTGAAGATGATGGGAGGTCAGTCACTAACATCTGCCGACGTTTTAGATGATGGGCAGTTTTCCGAGAAGCGGTTCGATTGGTCTGTTGCCCCGGCTACATCGATCAGACTGTCCTGCCCTCCATGGCCTATGACGACTGATCCACCTAACGAGGATGTATTGATCATATTTTCACCCGTCGCTAAATGTTAGAAAGCCGTCATACAGTTCAGTTAGGAAAAATGCAGCCAGAAAGAATTCCTTCAGTTAAAGAAATTAAGTTTATTTTTATGAAGTAAAAGAAAGTTACCGTAAATTCTCCACTGGCTTCTATTCTGAACCATGTCTGATAACATCTCTAGCCACTGAGTTGTACCATCTCTAACACCTCAACTCATAAACGCCCTGGTATGGCCGAGTGGGGAGAGTCCACCTAGGAGAGTTGCAAAACCGTGATTTCAAACCAATGGTGCACATGGGCTCGAGTATCGTGAACGAACAAATGACGTATGAACCAATCGTTGGTCACCGGCTACCATAGGACTGCATCTCCTTACGATTCTCCACTGTCTTGTGGATCAGACTTTTGGGTCAAAGGCTCCGGGTGTGGCCCCCTAAGAAGGTCACCTGCTTCGGTCTGGGCACCCGGGCAGTATCACAGCCCTCACACATATCAAATGAGATATGTGTGGAGCATATGTATCTGGTGCCTCCTTGTACCAATATCTATGTGTTAAAATAAATAATAAATAATGTAAATGATTGAGTAATCACACTGTTCATCTGTATCTGCATCGTTGAGAACTAAAACATACTCAACAAATTTCACCTCTCAGTTCATTTTTTGTCTGTTTGTTAAGGATTTTTCCATAAAATATGTTATTTCATGAAAAAAAATTTATTTTACACACAATCACTTGTCGTACGGAACAACAACGGAAGAATCAATTTTGTTATTGTATGCAAAGAAGAGACTTTCTATCATAAAAGTAATTTATAAAATAAACTTAATATAAACTAATAACAATATTATGGAGTATACGAATAATGTTTTACTTTTTACAAATAAATATGATTAATTCATTGTAGTGTGAAGGTAGTTTTGTCTAGTTTAGTAATAATAAAGTTATAAAATATATCGTAAGTTTATACAGTATCGTTTGAGTATCCTTTGAGATTGAGTTCAACTTTTTCTTATTCGACGATTATCCTACTTCTCATTCCTCTTCTGAACTAATTATAATGATGGTGGTGATGATGATAATGTTAACTATTATTTATGAAAGTAGAATTGGAAACCATTCTCATTGCTGTAGTAGTCAAATCAAAAATAAATAAACAAGGAAAAAAGTATAGCTGAGGAAATCACTTGTAGTTTTTTCTCTTACCATAGTGTCATTCTGGGTTTTTTTCAATTACTCACCTTTTATTAGTGTGATTCATTTATCAAATACACGTATTTATGTGCTCGAGTTTGTGACAAATTTTAGTTGTTTAGGAACTACTGATACTATTCGTCTACCTCAACCGAAACAATTTTAGCGGAACGAAAACTTTCAACCTAGTGGTTATTAGGAAGGCTTTTCAGTCATCATTGAGGTAGAGTTCGGTATAAGTGTGCGTCAGCCCGAGTTGACATATCACTTCGGGACAACTAGATGAAATTAATGAGATGAATAGCAAATGAGTTGAAATATTATTATTAACGATAATGAGAAATATTAAACATTGGAGGACAATGGTTTAGAAACAATACTTGTGTCGTAGTCGCTGCATATGCTTCTACTGACTCTAGTTTGGATGAAAAAGGTTTTATAGAAAGCTTTCCAATCTCCCTAAAAAAGCTAAAATGCTCAAAGGTATTTATAGCGGGTGATTGTTAGTGAGATCATGTCTGTAAAAGTTGAGACCATGATCCGATCTCGGCTCAGACAGTTAATGCGATAAGCGAAAGACTGACGAACAGTTTAACTAGTCTATATCTACCTTCTAGTCACTGTTTGTTAGAGCACAACCTAAGTGGGATATCAACATCAGTCTTCTGGCTCTTCATGAAATTAAAAAGGCTATAGATTATTTAAGATCGGTAGGGCAGCAGACCCTGATAAATTGAACCTGGAGATCTTTAATGATGGTGGTTCAGTTTTAGCAGTTAGATTGATAAGATACTAGATAAGATCTCCACTGACCGGTCTTTGTAGCTAATCGTTCTAGTTTATAAGAAAGTGTAGAGAGCTTCATATAACCACATAGGCATCAATTTGAATAATAGCGTCTAGACTATTAGCCTCAATATTCATCCAACGCTCAACTATTGCTCGTAACTAGCAAACTAGGAAAGAACAGTCTAGTTTCAGATGTAGATGTGCTAATCGATTATTCACTGTTCTTCTGGTACTGAAGAACACACATTTCTACCTAATCCTGACTGTATTTATATTTTTTGACTTTATGTTTTTTTGGCAGCATCTCCCATCAAAAGGGGTATCAAAAAAGTTCATGAACCTTATGAAGGTTCCCTACTGCCGGACAATCTAGAGCGTATGGCGGATACGTCATCAGAACTGGTAACAAAGTGCTGTTCTTCGGGGTTGCCCACTTCCCCAATTTTGTAAAACTTTTTCAATGACGTTCTTTTAATGGTAATGATTTTGGCCTTTGACTTTTCGGAGATTGGTGTCCTAACAAAAGATTTACGTGTTAACTTAAAATACACAGATTGTCCTGCTTGTTGAAGACTAACAAAATTCAAAGTGTTCTGGTTACCTTGAGCAATATTCTAAACATAATTGATGGGCAACTCTCCCCCTCCGAATGCAGAGTTTTGCTTCAAGAACGATCTGAATTGATCATAGGAAGTGAAATAGTTGAGCAAATCGACCGATTCACCTATTTTGGAAGTTTGGGCTCTCGGACAGTATTTCAGCTCTCATACAAATCGGATGACGAAGTGTGGCGCATATATATTTGGTGCCTCCTTGTACGAATGTTTATTTGTTTAAATAAATCAGTCTTAGAAATCTCAAGTCATGGTGGGTTGGTGTCTGGCGTAGTCTCAGCACAGAATTAGAAATCTTGGTGAATAGATAAGGTTGGAAGGATGCTAGGGTCGGGTAGACCTCGATTTTGTAATAATCCATGAGATTATCGATAATTTGAGTGAGTCATTTAGGTAGCTGCGGACGACCCGGTTATGGCTTGCACTGTATCTGCAACCAGCGTTTGAAGATGCTGAGTGATATGGCTTTGAATTTATTTTATTGACAGCAAAAAGCATCGTATTAAGTGGATTATCAGTGACAAATAGAATGATGGGCATTATGATCTTGGATATTAGTCAGTAATAATATTCCAGTTAGAAAAGATATTATTTGTAGTATTTCTTTGGAACGAAGGTTTTAATTCTTATTTACATCTTCGAGGTGATAGAGTCCTAATTAATGTATAACAATAATTCCAAGCCTCATAGCTAAAAATACTTATAGGTTAGGTCGTGACATTTAATATCATTTATAACTTATTCCTTAACCAGTTTACTTGGCTCAATATCCACTCGGTACATATGATCTAGCTAGATAGCATAGTAAAGCTAATTCACCGATAAATAACTTATTTACTACATTATGTGCAGTATTATCCATTTATCTCAATTATTGTGATCAGTAGGAAATGTTTGACTAAAGATTTGTTACTTTGAAATTTGTTATTATTCTTTACTCTGATTATAGATCTGAAAAAAAAGATCAGATTCCATTGATTGTTAATCGATCTAATATTTTTATATACAGCAACTATTTAGTCCCGTAGTGTTTAGAAACTTCAAAATTGATCATTTAAACGATTGATGATTATCGAATATTCTTAATAAGATTGTTCCATTTGTTTTAAAAAATAAAAAAAATAAAAAATAAGGATAATCTTTAAAAATGTTTTCGGCTTTTATTTCTATCCACATATTTATTGTATCAATATCAGTTTTTTTAAATATATGTTGTCAGGTTGAAGTTTCTAAGGCATTAGATGTTCATCTCTCTATTTTGGCCATAAGCTATATTTGTACATATAAACATATGCTCACCTCATTGTGGGTTCATAGTAGTAATAAATTCCAAATTTAAATGAGGATTTGGGCTTACAATGGTTCTTCAACTCATCCTAGTCTTTGATGAATGTATCTTCAAATTCTCAATGGAACTGATTTGATGTGTACTACTATAAAAAAAGCACATGCTAATGACTGATATTTCGGCTTTCAATCTATTTCTCAAAGTGAACATTCAAGTAAGTTGATATCACTCGCTAATTAGAATACAAGTTCCTTCACTTGATTTTGTGCTACACTTCAAATGATGGTAGTTGACTACTCAAATCAAAGTGGGATCCGAATGTTAGATAGACCAAGTGGATTATTCAGTAATTTATTGCTTTGATTTTAAGACTATAGATGAGTGATTCATACGGCTAACTACAAAATAATGTCATTGAAATCATAAATTGATCAATCTTGGACCACCGTTGAAAACCTGGATAATGGGTGTTAGATTTAAATCTATTTTCACTCAAGTAACACAGGTCAGGCAAGAAAAGTCCCACTGTTAATTCTCTTAACATCAATATATCTGTTATATCCGGACGAGAATAAATGAATGGTATCCTCTAGTAATTACTTTTAAACTAATATTATGCATATATTTTTATTGTATAACTATGAAGTGACTATATTATATATTCCTTTCATCATAGACTTTTATTTGACCTATTGACTATTATCATACGATCTACTATTCTTCTATTCCAATTTATTAGTAACAGTTTATCATTATCATAACCACTTTTGGCTTGTTATTTTCTATTTCTGGTACGATGTGGTATGATTTGGCTTGTATATAAACCACGTATATTTGAAATATATGACTCGTATCGCGGAGGCTGAGACTAGCGCTTTAGAATTAACAGGCAAGACTAGGTGGATAAAGGATCATTCGGAACTCTAGGTTGCTTGTGCCGTGTATGTGTCATTAGCTTGGTCGTATAAGTCAGCGTATCTATATTGGCAATCGTATTTTGCAATAATCATACAAGCTAAAAATATAACAATATCCCCTACAATCTTGTCATTGGTTTATAGCGTTATTACATTGAGTACTGATATTTTCCAGTTAACAAGTTCAATCTTACTTCTAAAAAACGAAAGCTTAATTAAAGTTAGTTCATCAATTACAAGTTTTTTAATAGTTGAGATCATGAGCCCATTGAAGCTAGACTACCATGGAAAACCTCGAAGCAGTGGACGGCCCTTTCGTCCTATTGTGGGACTCCTCAACAGTGCACATCCACGATCCCCCCTCGTGACATTCTGACCCAGAACCTATCGATCTCGCGCGCGAGCGCTTAACTATTCGATCATTGAACCGGCTTTCAACGATGGTAATGTCTAACTTCAACTAATCCACGAAATTGAGCGACACATCCACCATTGTCTTCAGTGAGTTTCTATCTCACAACAGACCCGGTTGAACTCTACTGGTTACTGCTTCTCACTAGACCTCCATGCGATCCCTCTTGGAGACCTTCACTAGTAAGCATATGTTGATTAATGTCAATTGATTCATGATCTCAACTATTAAAAATTACTATAATATCCACAAAATCCCTTCTGAAATTACAAGTTTGTTAGATATTTTCCACACACACACACATAGAAATCAAATATTTTGGAGATATTATCGGCAGATTCCTATACAGATTATTTTGTTTGTAGGTTTGCATAAAATGTACCACCTTATCCATATAATTACTTCATCATATTTCTTTCTAATGATTATTATATTTTAAGTTTCATAATTCTTTTATATAATATAACTTAGAAACTATGTTATGAAGGTGAACTTATTAAGTAAATCTTAGTTTTAATTTAAGTCATGATAATAATGACTATTTTATTGTAAAAAGAAAATATATGATTTATTAAATTTACTGATTGAAAGTTCAACTGTTATAGTTGACACATGAACTTACCTTGTTTTAAAACATCAATCCATAATCTGGTTAATTCAGAGGATGGAGCCATTAAAAAATATGTATGTAGTGTTGTCTCTAAACAAAATAATGTTTCTGTTTTCTCTGTACAGTTTGTTTTTTTTGTCATAGTATTATTTATAGTTGATTTTGTTATTATCAATGAATTTTGTTTTTGTTCTTCATCGGTATCCAAAATAGTAGTATGTTTATCTTGTTGAGTAGAACTTTTAACCTGACGATTATTATTATTGGTAGTAGTATTTGTATTTACTAATGTTGAAGAAGTTTTCTGAGATATTCTAGGCGATAAGGAACAAGACTTTTGACAATCTAATAATTGATCTGTACTACTTTGATGTATATCTTTAATTGTTGTAAAGTTTATCGTACCTAAATCGATGAGGAAATATGTGAAAAAAATTGTTAAATACATAAAATAATATTTTAAAATATTAAGAAACAGTGTCAGAGTAATTGACACTAAGAACCAGTAGAAATCTATGGATCGCTGGACAGTTGTTTTCATTCTAGTTTCAGATTCTTTACAAGTGCACACACAGTAGTCTAAAACAAGGTGATGCATTAGTCCAGTGCTCTATTGTCTCTGTTTGCGTTATATTTATTCGTGGTGACAACTGTCTTAAATCTTGCAAAATTTCCATACCATAATAAATGAAATAATATAGTATAAATAATCGAATAAAATCTTGGAAATACAAATAACTAATTGAAATCATCAATTTTGTTATTTAACAAGTAGTGATACCGACCAGATGAGAGGATGATTTCGAACTTAGGGCTTATCGTCTTATATCAGTTTGAAAGTAATGGACTATGTTATTAGCAAACTGTGATGAAATATAAACGTATAAAAACAATCAATTTGGTGAAAGTTGAGCAATCTTGAACCTGAAGTAAAAGATTTATAAGTAAATCTATCACCCTCTTATTAAAAATAAATTTAATGTCATCACAGTATTGTGATTGTGACTGATATTGTCAACTAACAACACCGATATTGTCGTCAGTTTATCTGGCTAAGCAAATTTTAAATATGTTGACCAAAATAGATTTCTCCTGATAATACGTGAACCAACAACAAATATGGTCGAAACCTCCAGAACTTCAATCTCATTGAGCCACGAAATATCAAAATGTGAAGCTTAGAATATGACTGAAAATTTTGTATATAGGATAAATACGACTAGTTATTTATATTTCAGTCAAAAGTGATCAAATGGCCTGTGCTGACTGGCCCTCTAACAGAGTAAATTGGCCGATTAAGTCGTTCTCATTACATAGCTATACATATCAAATTTGGGAGTAAACAAAATTCCTATTTCACTGGCAAATGATCTAAAATGTCGATTTCTACTTCAAATGCTTCCTATCATATATCTTTGAATTTTGTGCTAGTCTTTTGGGTGATCTTAGCATACAATTTTAACATATTACCTTAAATGATCACACCATATATAAAAGCTTTGACTTATCTCTCTACTTTTTCATGTAAAATATTTACATTAACAAATTGAAAGCTCATTTGTTTGGTGTTGTTTTTTCTTGATAACACAGGTTTGAATCAATTATACTGAAGTTATTTCAAAACTAAAACTCTACTACTAACAAGTAAGATCAATTTCAAACCGAATTATTTCTAAATTAAATAATGATAGAACATTAAAATCTTACATTCAATTCGTCCACATCCTTTTCTTTCACATATGAATATCTTTTGTTCTAACATATCACATGACAACCATTTACGACACCATCTTGCATTGTTTGAACTACGTATTATGATTCGTTTATTATGCTTTTCATTATCTGTATTAGTTAGTTGATTAGATGATGTATCATGTACTCGACGCATTATTGAATCCCATATATTATTATTGTTATTATTTCGTTGACGATTTGGCTTTTTCATAATCCATAGATAACCACCACATATTCTACTGGTTAGAATAATCTTACATTGGAAATAATCTAATGATTCATCAACTGTTGGTGTTTTTTGTGCTCGAGTAGTTCTTGATGTAAGCCAATTACCAAGTAAACTTGTAAGACATATTCCCCCATGTTGTTCAGGCAATACAGTTGCATCAGATGTTTCTATGGCTAACTCATTAATTGGATGATGACGATTTTGTAAGTACTCTCTTAAATTAAATGAGTAGTCTGACTTTTGTTTGATATATCGTTTAATTTTATGCGCCTAGTTTTTAAAATGAAAAAGAAACACATTTTAGTTCTGTTTTGAATGTCTTCAGTGTTTGCATTTATATGTAATGCGTTTTAAACGTTTAAAAAATAACTCTGGTGTTTATTTTTACGGTAAGACAAAATATCATTGGATGACCATTAGCTAATTACCGATAGTTCTTATTATTTTGATAGTAAGAATAGAATTGAAAAAATATTTTGTAGGAATATAATCTTTCTGAATTCTTCGCTTCTTCACTTTCAGTCATAACAGGGATAACATTAGTCGATTACATCATCATATATGATAGATTTTTCAATTCGTGTCACCTCTCTCAATGAAGTAGTGTTGTTATTTGATGTGTAATTTTCACAAGTAAATAAGTTATTTTAACCATCAATACACTCATAAATACATATTTCGGTATAATGTTTTTATAGAGTAGTAGTTTGACCAGTTCACTAAGAAGATTCATTTGAAAAGCAAACTGGAGAGACCATACTTCATGGACTAACCAATCAGGTATAAGATAATAGGTCTCGTAATTTTGGCGCCAAATTCACTCATCCATTTGGCTAAATAGCGTCTTGGCATTGTAGCTAATGTCGGTTTGTGATGAAAACCCTAAACTTAATTCCTAACCTTAGCCATCAACTGTAAATCATAATTCTAATTCTTTACACAGATTTATAACCCTCATTTGGTCCTAGATATTAGGTGAACACTCTCAAGGTTACACTAGCGTTGCTCAAATGTCATTCATAAATTATAGTCTCACCAGCAAACTTAATATATTTTAGCGGATAAGTTAGGTTTTTTGATCAAATTCCCAATAATCTCTAATTCTTGGTTAAATTATGCTCCTAATATAGAGGATATGAAGCTATTAAAGTTTGTATTTTATTTGTCTTCTATGTTATTTTACGAAAAATAACCAACAGCTTTACTATTCAAATGTTATTTATTTTGCGTTATAGCTGTTTTAAGACTTCTGATAAACTAGGCGATGATTTTGTTTCATACTCTACCTTGGTCATTATGCAATGCGTACTAGAATCGTAAGCACAATAAAACAAGATCTCAATCTAACAATGGTAGATTTCAATAACGAATATAGATGTATTATTAATCTAGAAAATGTCCAACTCTTGATCTCTCAAGTCATATTTTTTAGCTCTATAAATGATGGTTCATTTGACTCACTGAAAATTTCTTTCTCAAATAGTATTATGGAATGTTCAAATCCTAGTAGTATGTCTACTGTCACAACAGATCATGTTTCATTTGGTTCTCACTAGATCTTGTTCTCGGATCGTATCATTGATCTTAATGTTTCAAATCATGTCTTGCGAAGATTTCCTTGCTCAAATTGTATGTCCTATGTTCAAAATTCTAATATACGTCGTTCTCTAAAGCCTCTCATTAGTTTTTGGGACTGTGGAGCATGAAGTTTCTGTTGTTTCTGTCCATCTAACTATCACAAATGTACGAAATATGGAGCCATAGGTCACAAAGAAGGATTTTGTAAACACGGGAAACTCTTATTACATATCAATTATCAAGTTTAAAAGATGGAAATAAATATATATGAATAACATAGATAAACGGGCGTTTATCTGTTTCTGAATTCAGTTAGCGCTTTTCAGTATCAGCTTCACGACACTTCGTAATTAGTTAGTACGCATTCCCATTCTCTACCTTCATGAATTAGGCTGTTTTCAAAAAACTCATTATCATTGAATCTGTAACTACTCTGCTTATTCATTAGTAAACCTATTTGTTAAACACAAAATAAGAATTTATGCACATTAGAAGTAATCTACTACACATTTCGATTATTCGCATTAACGAGATTAAATTCAACCACGTAGTATTGATGTACACCTAAGCGCTGAAATACGTACGGGTTGTCAACTTCAAACATATATCAATTCCTTGAGGTCAATTAGGACTCACTGGATTGAATTCTTAAAGTTAGTTCACTGAATTAATAATAATAATATAATGTATAGAAGGTTTCAAATTAGTTTATAATTGGTATCCCCTGAAAAACACCATTATTATATATGCGCCTTTCTATAATAAACAAACAGACTTCTTACTTGATTTACTTCTAGTTGATTTTTCATTTTCTCAATTGAATTTAATGATTTTCTACTTTTTGTTGATGGATTCAATAATCGATTGTTACTTTCCTCTTCTCTTTCTTCTTCCCCTTCTTTAGTTGTATCATTTAAAGACGTTAATGATCCAGTGAGTATATGCGATTCATGATTCAATGTTGTAGTTTGTTTTAATAATTGACTAGTTTTATTATTCATTGTTCTTGATATCTTATGTGGAAATAATTTTCTTTGGTTTAATAATTTTTCATTATTTGTGTCATTTATATTCACATAATATGGCGGTGGTAAAGGTCTTTGTTTGGAATCGGTCAGATTTCGATTTAAAGGCTGTTTAGGTGTATAAAATAATATATATATATATATTCTAATTAGGTATCTGCTTTAATTCATAGCTAATGACTGGTCAAAATTGAAGCAAATTGAAAAGACTGTCAAGAGGAGGAGAGATAATTCACAATAACAAGCTGATATTCAATGAAAATCTATGTATATTAGAAAAAAGAAAGTATTAAACATTTGTTCTGTCCTAGTTTTGAACTCCTCTCATCAATACATATCGTGTATGAAGTCTCTAGCACACCAATCTTCCTACCGGGAATGAAATCAATCTAATAATGTACATTATTCGGTACAGGCTAATTCATGATAAAGTTTTGTTGTTTAATATTGGTGACCAATCCCGATTTGCTAGACTCTACAGATCACGGGTCTTCTTTAGATTTTAAGGAAATATAATTTCAAATAAAAGTCAGTCAGCTACAACGTAGGACCAGGTACATATGTGCATCGGTCCAGGTTGCCATACCTCATTAGCACAGCAAGATGAACACCGGATTCATAGGAGTGGTTAGGTCAAAAGTGGTAATACATAGGAGAAAGATTGCAATAAGGATATAGTATAGGAAGAAAGAATTAGTTAGTAGAAAGAAAGATATGAAGTGATTTTAATCTCTTAGTTTAAGGGAAGACAGGGAGTGTATACAATGGCGCCATTGTGACTGATTCTGAGCCATGTCACCAAGAGTCTCCAACCATTGATTACGAAATTCACGCGGACCCCAACCAAGTAGTCTGCATCTACCAACATGGCTCAGACTAGAAGTTAGTGACTTCAAGCACTGATGCCACGTTTTGGTTTGGCCACCCCTAACTTTCTTCCAACCATCCCGAACACCGGTTAGCATTGCACGTCGCGGTAATCGGTGTTCAGGCATACGTAACACGTGGCCCAACCATCTTAGTCGATGAAGATTCACAACATCATCAACTGATTTATCATCATTCCCTAATACCCTGCGTCTAACCTCACTATTACTTACCCGGTGATCCCAACAGACGCCAGCAATATTTCTAAGGTATCTGTGGTCAAATACTAGTAGCTTACGAATGTCTTCTGGTTACTATCACTAAAATGGTTTGTACATAAAGATTACTTAATTTAGAGCTTGTTTTCATGATGCAAAGGTATCATAAATGGAGAGAAAATGTCTGTCCACTTAAAGATGATAGCATCATAAGTTCTCAAATGAGAAGACAATTACACGTCCCTAGAAACCGATCAACATATGATATTCTTCTTACAAGACCTATAGACTTTGATTTCAAACTTGCACAACTAAGAATTAATATATCAGAGCGAAATACATCTAAACTGTGGTAGACTTCCAGATAATATCACTGAGTACTGAAAATATCTCTAAACTAATCACATATTTCACGTATTGTTTGTTCGAAAATGTGCTAAATTTTGAATTAGCTTTGCCATTAACGAAAAATAATTAACATCTGAACCTTTAGATGTAATGGATTAACTGCTTCAGTAGTAATGTTATACTGATTATCCCTTGTGACTCTCTAACCAAGTTTAGGTTGGTATATCTAACAATGAGACATAATTTTAGTATAACAGATATTAATAGTATCCGGTTACATGATGCATGGTAGGTAGAACGAAGTTAGGATCTCATTCATAGTTGTAAGTATTAGAAAACTTTAAAACACTAAACCATTAGCAAGGGATTAAAAATATCATCCGGATTAAATAAAAATCTAACAATGTACTTGAGGTTTAATACTATAGAAAACTGAACATTAATTTTCTACATAGTTAAAAGGTATGAGAGTAAGTTGTTTCGATGGATATTCACCTGCTGTAATGAGGTTATTCATGAGTTATTTCAATTGAACGGAAAATATGTTATATTTATCTTTATTTACCTTTGTTCAGTTAATCTATACCAATTGATTTTCTAAAGAAGCATAAGACTAGTTGTTGGATGAAGATTAACTTGTCTGATCATATTTATGCTTTAATCCACTAGAAGCATGATCGACGTATTCTCCTAGTGAACACTGATGCGTGAGTAACTTTGAAATTAACAAACTTCTTGTCCATCTACCCACTCAATCTCGAGATATCAACAGTCTTTTATTTCAGTGTTATTATTAGTCTGACTGCTTTGACTATGGTATCTTGCTAATATGATCTAAAATCGAAATTTTGCAAGAAAATTATGATTCCGAAATCTCTTATTTTTAAATTACAATGTTTGAACAGAAGGTAATTTTTAAGCTAAGTGATACAAATCTCATTTTTATCAAGATTCATCACTAATAATGATGTGAATTTTTGAGAAATATGTGGTTAAACTAAAACATTTTATAATAGTAACCATGTCTAGTTCCCTCTTTTTCAAAATATTTTACAGAATACAAACTGATTAGTTCATATTAGATGAAGACTCACTTGAAAATCTAAATTCATTTCTTCATTAGCATCAAGCGAACGTGACATAAATTTGTAGACTTCTTCATCTTCAGCGCTGAGATTTTCTTGTGTTGCTTCAATAGATGTTTGCATATTGATTTGATTTGGTTTTGGTGGAAGTGGGGGTACTGGTTTTAGTTGGTTTTGTTGTGTTGGTGGTGCTGGTCTGTGATGCAATAGTGACTTTTCGGTCAAATGTTTGTCATTATATAATAATGGTTGTGTTGTTATTGTTGTGGGTGATGATTGTTGTGTTGTTGTCGATAAAAATGAACAGTTAATAGGAGTTAAAAATCCTGTCATAGAATTATTCGATGAATTAGTATTAAAATATCGTCGGCTAGGTAGCTGAGTTTTTGATATTCCATACAACAATCGATTTGTATAATCTTCATCATTAGTTGGAGAAGAACTGGCGTTAGCTAATTCGATATAACCATTTTCTGAAGCAAATTTTGTAAACTCTAAAATGTTATTTTATTCAAAAATGTAGTATTGTAAAATTAATGGTTTCCCAGGGAAATAAATACTTTTTATACTCTTAAATACTTTACGTATAAAGCTTTTAATTCTTTGTCTTCTATTATATATTTGCTTTATTAGTAAACATAATGAACTTTCTGAATACTTGGCATTCGACATTTGCTAAGGTTGAAAATACTGAAATTTCAGTCTAATTTTATTAAAGGTCCCAGTATTATTTTGACTTGATGTACATCTCGTTGATTTCATCTTGCTGTGTTGAAGTGGTATGACAACTTGGGACAATGTATATATGTGCCAAGTTCTAATTTAATTATGACTAATCGACTTGTTACTTAGATAATCTATGCTCGAAAGCAACTGTGTCATTAATTTACTGAAAAATTCATATCAAGTAGAATGTTCTTAATGGGTATATTGCGCTGTCTGATATGTTCTCTTCTCATTAACTTGTCAGTTTGTTAGACAACTTGCCCTTTTCAGATCTTTAATATTTTAATTCATAAAAGGTTATTTTTGTCTGTCGATTTGAATAGAAGGTCTTATTGTGCACTAAATTTGCTTTACATTATTTATATATGTTTAACTTATTTTCGTCTGTTCAATAAGCTGACCAGATCGAGATGTTTATGGAACATTAATTTGTCGGAAAACTCTGATACAATATTTTAGCATTACATGCAAAGATAGATAGTGGCTAGCAGTGAAATCCAGGACGCACGTTTCGTCCTATTTGGGACTCGTCAGCTGGATGTACCTGCATCTCGGAGTTAATGTTCACCCTGGGACATTTTAGCATTTCTAAAAATTTATTGATAAGTTATTTGGATACGTGAATACAGTTTCCATCACTGTATGAATTCGGTTAGGCAACCAGAATAAACTTCACATGTATTTTGTTTAAGTATGTGACTCTTCAGGATTCTATACCCTTTAATCTACCAGAGCTCCATTCAATAAATGTATACGTCTCCCGGAGAATGTATTCCATTTAGTCCATTGAGTTGAGTTTCTCTAGCTGAAGTGTACAGGAAGTAATAGTAATACTATGCTTTGCTATCAAACCAATGAGGTCAGAGAAAGTAAATCTATAGGTTTCTCCACAGACAATGCATATACCCACATACAGATAGTAAACATAGAGCAATATCTTAATTTTTATAGTCATTGTTCAATCCAGGTTAATAAAGGCGTTATTCAATAAGATCAATCGTATCTGCACTAGGAGACATAAAACTCAAATGAAACATTGGTGAATAATGGTTATTCATTGAAGTTTATCAACAGATGCAAAGACAGTAATATAGTTAGGCCTTCTACGCGTTTGAAATCCAAATAGTGGATCTATATTACAGTTGTGACTCAAATATTTTTATGTTAAAACGAAGACTTAAATGAACTATCAGTAAGACATTTTACACATCACAACTCATTATTATCAAAAGTCAATATCTATGTTTCAACAAAAAACCTAAACATCACTTAAACAATTGTATCTCATCCCATTTGCGTCTATCAGTTTACACGTATATGTTGAAACATGAACAAAGGTAGGAGCATTGGTTATCTGCATTTAAGGATGGATGAACTCATACCTAAATGGATACCTAAACAAATGAAGCTCAGTCGTTGAATAAGATCACAAGACAAATAAATATCTTGCTCCATTGCAAAACATTTAGCTGAGACGGATCATAGGGTTGATATCAAGATAGCCTTTGTAATGCTGAGTAGAAATGATGAAGAGTTTGTGCTAAAGATTATTGAAGCCCTATGTATACGAAGATTGAAACTTCCTTTATATGTTTAAAACCAACTTTTTCTTACCCTTAACCTATCCTGCTGATGCTTATTATTCTGTTTGGTTTTCATATTTTTTTAAACATTATTTCCTTGATTATTGTCTTTGTTTCCTCTTACCTTCCACTTGTCTAATTGACCTTTTGCTTTTCTATATATAATTTCTTAACAAGTATATGTGTGGTCAGATTGTTCATAATCTATTGCGCAAATATATCACATAGTTTTGATAACCTTCGTCTCTTCACTGAATTATCCGAGTAAATGAATATGACCACAATATCACTGTATATCAATACAGTTTCACTGAACCAATGACTTGTTGAGTCAATGAAAAGTGCACAAATGAACAACGAATAAAGTCATAGTCCTGTGAGCTAAACAGTGGGAGTTATCTACACTAAAAATAATTTGATTATAAGGTTGAAAATTTAAGTACAAACATTGACAAATTCAAAGAGCATGTAGAACTTTCTATGTGTTTCTATTCCACCGATTTTTTTGATAGCAGTTTCATTATTCAACGTATCCCTGTGCTCTGTGATGTAATTGTCTACAGGGTATTTTAGAGTCTGGTTCGTAGTTAATTTGGACTTCAGAAAGTTCGATTCAAATTGAGATGCATTTATCACTGGTTTCACTATTGAACCAACTAGTTTTGAGGTAGTGACTTTCTCAGAATTTAACGTGAAAATTTAAGACATACTTTTAACTGTCGATCTCTCAATGAATAGCTCTGTTGGTCATATATACATTGTAGAGCGCTTTAAACATTTTATATTCGTGGAAAATAAGCTATTATACAATCATAAATTACAAACAGCATCAGAAATGCATGTAAAATATTCGTTATAATGTAAATTGTGTTGTCTATACCAGTTAATAAGAATTAATTTCATTTTTGCCCTTTAAAAAACAAACTTAAGTTAAACTTATTCCCTGTATAGACTTACTTGATGATAGGCATCCATCTTACCTTATGGATGCCTCAAAAGTTGAAAATAATCATGTAGATGATCTTCATATCAAAAGCCCAGAACTATGTTTCAATAATTTTACAAATGTACATACAGGGAAACTGAATATCAAGTGGAACTGTTTATGAAATTATTTATCACAGTGTGGTGTGGGTTACTTATATCCGTATTAGTAGTATATAACGGTGGTCAGGCATAGAATGTATTTCAGCAGAAGATCGATAAGGAAAGACCGGAAACAGAACGCAGTTGGTATGAAAATGCGTGAAGAATGAAATCTGAGATAATGGACTGATATTTGCGAAAGGAACGGTCACGTATGAGATGACAGATTAATATTTTACAAATTAACTATTTACTATATGGTTCTCAGATTTTATTGAGATGCTCTGTATTTTCGTGTCAAATACATCCGATTGCCCCGAACGGGTGTTTTTGTTCACTACAACAATACAGATGATTTATAGAAAGGTTCATCTGTACACTAACAGTTGAGTTTCTACACCGAAATTGACTGGGTTTTTATATTGGAAAACTAATTATAAACGTTGGGAAATTAGTAGGTCATGTATTTACATTTTGTTTCATTTTTAGTGATGAATTCTTAATGTACAAAAATTTCGAGGCGATTTAAAGAATCACTCAAATTTTGATATTTAATGTAATCACACTTTGTTACGTAATCTTAGCAGATCAGATTAAATGTTAATGGATGATTTGTATTTAGTCGTTTAAATGGTAATGTTGAAATTGGATTGCTACCATATGATTTCTGTACATCGTTATTGTATCATAAATTTTTTGTGCTCATATATATATATATATATATATATATATATATATATCACTTACGAGGATTTTTATGTAAGTACTTTTTCACATTCCATACTGATAAATCTCCGCGAATGGGTGTTGGTAATCTCCTTCGTTCAACATTAGGAACCGATAAATCTCCATCTTGATGTAAATTATTCAATTCATTTTTGCTAATATTATTATTCATATTATTCGTTGATATTTCCTTAAATTTTTGTGTAATATTAGTTGATTTATTGGTAGTAGTATTATTATTGCTATTGCTAAGTCGTGGAGAATCTAAAAGATATTGAGCACTTGAACTATTTATTCGTTCGATTGTACTAGATTTTTGCCAACCTTCAAAGAATTAAAATCAATCAAACAAATTATGTAGATCAGTGTAATGTATTAAGAGTGAAAGAAAATATTTTATTTAATTAAATTGTTTGAAAGAAACTGAATTAATACATCCTTTTCAAACGATACTTTGAACATCAATGAAATTAGGCAAATGAACTAAGTTATTGTTTATCTGCGATGAAACTGACCAACAGTTTGTACAAATCTCTCTACCTTGATATCGTAGTTATGTGTTCAAAAGTCACTGGTTTCTAAAAAAACGTTTTGTAAGTTCCGATGGGAAGTTGTGGCTAAATAAGTTCAATCATATCGGGATTGAGGCTGATATCAAATTTGACACTGTAGAAAATTCTCATTGATTGAAACTGGAAATACAAATTATTGGATTTCAAATCAGTGACAGTTCTATCGTACCTAGACAGGCTTGGAGGTTTTGCATTTTACCCTGTGTGAGTTTATGAGTGTTAATAACTGAACAGTTCTATGGTCCTTGGTTTTTTATCAGTCTGCCTTCACCTCTGACGAAATCCGTTCTAACACTATTCAAAATAATAAGAAAACACTGAAAGTTTGTATTATCCTAGTTCAACTCTTATCTCTAGTTACCACGTTCATGTTATTATAACTTAAGCAATTAATTTATCGATTGAGATCTCGGACCGATCGATTTTAGACCACCAGTGAAAACCTGGAAGCACTGGATGACCGTTTCGCCCTATTGTGGGACTCAGCAGTGCGCAACCACGATCCCGCTCGCGGGATTCGAACTCAGGGTCTTCAGTCTCGCGCGCGAACGCTTAACTTACTAGACCACTGAGCTGGCCTGTATCTAACGCTGTTAATTTCTTACCTCAACCAATCTACGAAATTGCGCGACCATCTTCCATTGTACTGAGGTAGATACCTGTCTCAACCCGACACGGATAAGCTCCACTGGTCACGACTCTTAAGTAAAACTCTGAGAATACCATCATGGAGCTAGTCACTAGTGAGCACATGGTAATTATCACTGTAATTAATACCGTTGGATGCTGGCCAGTTCAGTTGTCTAGTAGGTTAAGTGTTCGCGGGCGGGATGGTGGATGCGCACTGCTGAGGAGTCCCACGGTAGGATGAAACGGCCATCCAGTGCTTCTAGGTTTTCAATGGTGGTCTAACATTGGTTCATTCATGGCATTACTTTTTATATCTTATGGATTATCCTTAATTTTCTTCTTCATTATAAGATATGTTTTACTAACGTTCATTCATTCAATACAATTCAGAACATGAATCGTTTCAAAGTTCTATTAAAAAGATTGTTGGAAACCTTTCTAATTTTTCAATAATGCTTGAATCCATTACCAAATATCTGCATCAAATAAGATTATCGTTTTTGTCAAAAATCCACAACCTTACTTAGAGTTCTTCACTTAAAAATGATTATTTCCATTGTGTGTAAACCGTTCTTGAAGTACAATTATTCCCTGATTATATATGTTTTTATAAAACATAAACTTACTGATAATGTTATATTTTTATCCAGAACTGCAAATGATCAGTCTCTGTTTCCATATATACATCTTGAATTGATTGTCTCGCTATGACGCTTGTCATATGTCTTAGTACATTCAGGTTGTGGCTAACGGTGGGATCCTGGACACACTTATCATTTTTTTTAATAGTCGTCGTTTAAACTTATTACGCTCATAGTGGGATTATGAACATTGGGTTACAGGTACATCCAGTTGTTGAATTCCAAATCGAAAGAAGTGTGCTTCATTCCAAATATACTTGATTAACCTCTATATGATTAGACTTAAGAAAAAGTATGTTGCAATGCTGGACTTCGACACTTAGTGTTAGGTTTCCTTTTTGTATGTTCTAATATCAAGTACAATAATACGTTTCATTCTACTGAGACAGTATTAATTGACAATGGTCAACTTTCACCATGATTTCAAATAATAATCATATACAACTTTGGATAAAGAAGACAGTAATACAGTAAAAGAATTATATCCAAGATAGTAAATTATCGATAAATGATAATCGACTGAGTGTGCAAACAACCACAAAAACCCTGGCTACCAAAAATGTATAGATTCATCATCATTAAATATAACATTCTGTTCAAAAACATTTTTGTAATGTGTGTCTTACCTGTAAATTTGGGTTTTGGTGAATGTCCATGGGTTAGGATATCATCTACGGAACTATTGGGTAATTGAGACTGAAATATACTATCAGTGGAATATTCACTATGAATTGTTGAATTGACAGTGCCACCGATCATTTTAGAGTTCCGAAGAACATTTGGAGTCATTGAGTAGGTTAGAGCTTGTTGATTGTCTGTCAGTTGGTCAAATGTTGATATATTCTGCTCTAAAGGATTACCAGGGTAGGAAACTTTTCGCCTATATATTGCTTTCTCTTCTGTGTTGTTCTGTTGAACTTTAGGACTTGTATTGAGCTAAATGAATTACAAAGATAATGCAAACATAATTAAGAGATAATTACCATGTGCTCTTTAGTGACTAGCTTCGAGAGGGGATACTCGGAGTTTCAGCGATAAGCCAAGACCAGTGGAGTTCAATCGTATCGGGTGTGAGGCAGTTGCCCACCGAAGACAATGGAAGATGGTCGCTCAGTATCGTGGATTGGTTGAAGTTAGACAACAGCACGGTTGGATATCGGCTCAGCGACCTAGGGGTTAGGTGCTTACGTGTGCGACTGAAGGTCCTGGGTTGGAACCTCACGTGCGGGTCTGTGGGTGCGCACTGCGGAGTATTCCTGCAATGGGACGAAGTGGCCGTTCAGTGCTTCCATATTTTCAATCGTTTTCTAACATTGATCATTTCATGATCTCATTCATAACTCAACAATCACCACAACTCGATACTGATAAGAGATTTATATTAAACTACTGAATTTTGTTGTTAGTAGCATACTATTTCTTTAAGCAATAATAAGTTACGCTCTCCGAGTATGATGTCTAGTAACTGAATTGCAAAGGATTTTGTTTGAACTACAATTTAGGTACTTTTACTTCAGCAATTTCAGATATGCTTGTGGCATACTTTTCAACCAAGCGCTGGTTATAAGGTTCATGTAACTAATTAAGAAAGCTATGTTGCAAGTTAATTCGTTTAGCCAAACAAAAATTGGTTAACGATCGATTTTAAATATAATCTCTATTACACACCGACTATCAAACTGCTCATCTTGACTTTTCATAGAAGACAACACATACAAGAAGTGACTTAATCAGGCTATTTAATTAAAAAGACCTATTTTACCTCTAAAACAGTATTTGTAAATAATACCAGTGAGAATTTAGAAACTAGGGAAATTTACCAGCATTAATCTCTTCGCAAGCAATGCAACTGAAGCGTCCGCGGTAGCCAGTCTCTGTCTCTGAATCATTAAATGTTCCAATAATAAATTTCGTTTAGTCTCCTTTGTTAAAATAAATATAAAGCATAGAGTTAGTGTTAAACATTAATATTTGTACCATTCAGATAGATTTATGGATTTAAAATAAAAGAACTATAAGATAAATACAAATAGCCAGTTATTCAGTCTCCTCAAACGGGTAATTGTAAAAACACATATGAACAGAATGCCTTTGTTGTTCGTGATTTTAGTAACTCACCAATATAGGATCATTTTTTGCTAATGACGATGCTGCCATTTCTCTTCTAATCTCCTGTGTTTCAAATCACACTCATTTCTGCGTATTAATCTAATATCGGATATTGGAAGGTTCTAACTTCTTTATGGAAGAGACTTATTGGAGTTTTCAATAGATTTCGGTTTTATTTTAACTGAAATCTACTTCTTTGCAGTGCGGTGAACAGTTATTATACTCAGATTAAAGTCGTATAAGTTTAAACCTAAAATGTACGATAATACTACATAGAATGTAACGTGGACTAATTGAGACAATCAGAAAATAGGCAAATGTATGCTTGTTTTGTAGGTTGAAAATAAATACAGTGTGTTATTAGATGGTTGAAGGGAACTTATGTGAAGAAATTTAAATTCAAATATCGTATTATTTGTTACTGATCAACAGGACGTACCTGAAATTCGAGAACTAAAACTTCATGAAGAATTTCAATTATCTTACCAAATGTCACAGTCTGTGACTTTACCACTGAGTTATTTAATGGTGATCGTATTCCAGGATGATCAATTTAATTCTATCAGCATTAAGTCCTAGAGAAAAACATGATATCGAGTACTATTGAGTCAAAATTCAATGTAACGTGGCTAATTTTGTATTCACTGTAATTGTTTACATTTCATGTACCTTGATGTTTAAGACGGAATCTGACTGATCTCTGTTAGCATCTTAACTCCTAAATAAGGATGCCTCAAAATTACCCTTATTTACAACCGGATTGTTTTGTTTAGTGGCCCTAAATCTGACTCCATTTAGATCCTATGGTGATTGTTGTTGAAATATACATGTCGCCAATCCTCGTATATAATTATCGAATTAATCCGCGTTAGTGAATAACGGGAATAAATAAGCCAATTTTTGAATGCGTATATTTTGCACACATTGATTTGAACAGACAATCAGAGGGACGAAGAAAAGAAAGCGAAGCAAAATGACACACAGTAGAGAAGGTGTGTGAGCCAACTCGATTTAATCAAGCGTTAATCCATATTTATAGCCAGATAAAAATAGGTTACAGGTATGTGATTGATTAGAATAAGAAGTGCACACACAAATGCTCATATAAAAACAATCAGGATTGATAAGTGACTAATAAATAAGGTCAAAACCTGACTCAAGAGGAATGAATAGATTTGTCTGTTCAGAAGCTAGAATAAGTAATATGGGCTTAACATCGTAACTGACACCACAATTAAAAACACCTACTAAAATAGTCACTTTATAGAAAATGAGATTTCCCTCCAAGAGTGGATCTAAGCCATTTTTCATTATTGCAAGTGCCAATCAAGTGTAATTGTGACCAATGCATATATATATATATATATATATATATATATATATATATATATATATATATATATATATATATATATAGACAACAGTCGTAGTTATTGATCAACTCTTGTCTAGTATAAGTTGGCAGTCATACATATTTATAACAAAGTTAAATTGAAATGCATATATGTAAAATATTGATTAATAAAATTTGTCTAAATAAAAAACCAAATGACAAATCAGTGAAATTGGAATACTCTTTTTCAGACTGAATCAACAATCCAAACCATTGAATATGATTTTAAAAGAACATGCACTAAGTTAGTCAAAATTAGGCATAAAGTGTAGTAAATAAAAATCAAAACTTTGATGGAATCACGAAATGATCAATGAAGAATAAAGAAGAAAATATCCTGTAATTTAGTTCACTTTTGTTCTCTCTGTCTTATTTTCCCCATATTTCGTTTATCCCATTATTCAACTAGATTATTATATAACAGATTTATATTTTAGCTGATCGATTCTATGCAAAGACTAAAATGCGATAAAATATCGATGAAAAACATGGTGTCTAATAGTTTCAGTTATATTAAGACAATGTAAGAGACTTTTTTACCTTAAAGTTGTTTAGATAATAATTTAGATTAAAATATAAAGATTACAGTGGGTTGTTACAAAAGGCTACGACACTTCAAATGGATGAATACACTTAGGATCTCCAGTCTATAGCATCTAATTATGGATTATGTGACAATAGTAGTAGATGACATGACTTTAAATTTATGGATGAGCATAAGTTCATTTAGAATGGTATATAAGGCTTCATTGATTAGTGAAAAATAGAAAAAAACAAAACTAGTTTTGTAGCTTTCAGACATTTAATTTCACAGCTGAATAGTTAATTGAACTTTTATTAAATGAGTGTTAAATTATTGGTATTTCCTTACAGCAAGGTAAATGATCAATGAGTTATAAGAGTTAAACCGTACTTCAGCATAGCAAGTTCTTAATTTTATTCACCATTCTAAAGGATATTGTGATTCATATTAAGTATATAAGATCGTAAGATACTTATAAATCATTTATTAGTAGTGTAAAATTAAACGTAAAAAAAATTAAAAGCTTGATGGAATAAAGTAACTTACCGATGAACTGTTATTATTATTATCTACTTGTGTAAATGTTTTTAATGATGATGTATTGTTTACATTAGGTAAGGAGATAGGATTAAAACTGTGTTCTGTTGAACATTGTGATTTGGTCTGATGTTTAGAAATGTCATTTTCATCATTTGTTGATGATTCTATGTACATGTAATTATTTTGAGTAAATATATTAGTAGGATTTTCATCTAATTCAGCAGGCTTTAACTAAAGTACAAAAAAAATGATGTCATCAATATAAATGCAGATAACGTTTTAACAATGGGATTCATCGGTTTGTATTATTTCGAAATTTAGAGAAAATAAAATGAGTTAGTCACAGGGTTTGATTCCAACCATGGTTGTAGTTGCTTTACAGTTCAAGAGAATACTTTTGGTGATGTTGTGTTGTAAAAGATGGATGTAATATTATCGGAGCTTTCAGTGTTTTTCCAGGTAACATCATCAGCTGTTAGTGAAGCTCACAGAACCCAATACCAAACACAAATAGACTCACAATGTGAAATATACTTTATGTAAGATTATACTAAAATGCATTCCATTTTTCTTGTTATAAAACTTGTTCTGTCAAAAATAACGATTGTAAGGCTACACTTTATGACCTCCAAACAATCCTGTAGAACTCAAATATTTTCAACTCAAATCAACAACAACAGCACATGACATTTTTAACAACCATCAAATCGATATAATTAACATTAAAATAACTCGAAAAGGATTTTCAAACTACAAAGAATGACAAGTGACGAAATCTTTTTATATATTTCTGAATCCTACGCACTTAACAGAAAACAAGGCCTTACGACCCTTCCAGTATGGATCATTTATTCAATTATCCACCCAATGGATTCTCTTCACATCTCACACCACTAAAAAACATTCAAATATATTCTCAAACTTATTTTTTCACTATATATATATATATATATATATATATATATATATATATCATCTTTCCCAATTCAATAACACAAAGACAATTATATTCAGCTATATATCACATAATAAAAGTAACCCTGACTAAAATATTGACATGATCAGAAATAGTTTGATTTTGATCGTACTGAAAATAACCTAATTTCTTTCTTTGATACAATTACAACTTCTGTTAATTTAATTAATTTTTATTCTCCGTAGAATCGTCTTACATAAAGCATCAGAAATCTACTTTCTACTCATTAGGACTTCAAAAATATACTTTCTTGTTATTACCAACCTATCTAGTGTTCAGTTTATTTAGAATTAATAAGTCTAACCTTTATAAATAACACTAACAATTGTAAGGGGATTCAATTTCTTGTACATGATATTTACATGAGAATTTGACTATATCACGTTAGCATAAATATAAAATATCCGTTTAACGATCAACTCGTTGGCTATCGGAATTTAAGGGTAATATGCTAAAAGTTTGTATTTTTATGTGATGATTATTAATGTGATTATCAACCTTAAGATTTAGACGCATAATTTTGCGACATTGTTTAATCAGGTAGAAATTGTCCGAAATATCAACACTGTAATTATAAGAATTACAAGCATCAAACCTAAGTTTTTCCTCAGTTATAATTCATTTTATTATCCTCTCTGAATGGTTGTTTACAATGTGAAACATCAAAGCAAATGAACAATATTCAAGCATAATCAAAATATTATGCAACATTTTAGTCAAATACAATATTGTTCGTAAGACAGATGATCGGTATCATCATTTGTACTATAAAAATTGTTGCAAAGTTTGAAATATTGTGGTGTGGGTTACTTATATCCATATTAGTAGTATATAACGGTTGTCAGGTATAGAATGTATTTCAGCAGAAGATCGATAAGGAAAGACCGGAAACAGAACGCAATTAGTATGAAAATACATGAAGAATGAAATCTGAGACAATGGACTGATATTTACAGGAAGAACAGTCAAGTTTTAGACGATAGATTGATATTTTACAAATTAACTATTTACTATATGGTCCCAGATTTTAGTGAAATGCTCTTTAATTTTGTACTCAAATACATACAAATGTCTCCACTGGTGTTCTTGTTCACTACAATATGACTGTATTGATTGAGAAGAAAATCGATCGGTATATTAGGAAGTGTTTATAGCTAAATCTTTAAGAAGTGATCATTAGAATTTCCAAAAAAGCATTGGTTTTATGAAGGTCTTTAATAGATGTTGAAGAGTAGTAAAAGTTGGTTCACAAATTTTTTTATCGGTTGGATTTCTTTACTGGAGTAGGAAATCTAATTTCGGTTATTTATTTACTCTGGAGTAGTGGCTTACATTAACTCACGAAACGTCAGAAATACAATTTCCTACTTATCGAGATATAACAAAAATAAATTTATTATTAAAAATGAAGCAGTTTATTATGAATTCGGCTAAAACACTTAAAAAACTCTTTCCTTTTTATCATCAAGTCCATGATGAAAATCAAGAAACATTAGTTAGGTATTTTGTTTTAGTCTGAACTTACCAGCAAAATGCATCCATAACTCCACTTAGGATCGAATCCAAGATCTTCATATCTCGTGGTAAGCGTTTAAACGTCAATCACTGAGTTAGAATCTGGCGATTCACATTTTTAAATCCAGTCAGTTCAAGATGTTACGCGACCATCATTCATTGCTGTTAGTGGGTAACTGCCTCATCATTTGTAATACTGTTGAATTGCAATGGCAACAGCTTACGACTAGTGATCACGTGATTCTATTTATTTACTACACAACATATTTTCATTTTTATACTACTAATATATGAACTTTGATTTTAGTATTTTGAATATTGAATTTATATTTACCCGTAATAGCTCTCATTGAGTTTTAGTTTTGTGAAAACACACAATACTTTGTTAATGAATTCACTTGGTATTGTTTGGCTTGTATTTTCCCATTGATCAGTCTGTTATTGGCATATGTGCATACTGTGCGTATGCCTCGATATTAGCTTAATTCACAAGCTATTTGTAAGCAGTGATGGATAGTGGCTAGCAGTGGAATCCAGGGCACGCGTTTCGTCCTATTTGGGACTTGTCAACTAGATGTACCTGCCAAACAATAGCAAGTGAATTCAAATTCACCCCACTACACAAGCAAGTGGCTATCAGGACTCAGTAGCTGAGTGGATAACGCGACGGCGTTTGAAACGAATGGTACTGGGTTTGGGCCCCAGAGTGAACATCAACTCTGAGATGCAGGTACATCCAGCTGACGAGTCCCTGGTAGGACGAAATGCGCGTCCTGGATTTTGTTAATGATATTAAATCAGTATTTGACTTGAAGTGAGCTTACATTATATTGCATAATTTCACTGGACAAACATTTTAATGTATTCGAAGTGTTACCATCACTGTCAGTAACAAAATCACTATGAATAATAAGACATTCATAAAATTAGAAATAAAAATAATAATAAATTAGAACTTACGGTGTTTGCTGAATCTTCAATACTTTTTAACCAACGTATGTATTGATATTCAAGATCATCCGTTGTAAATTGTTCACTTTGATTACAAGCTTTATTAATATTAGTTGTAAGATTTCCCATTGTTGTTGTAAAGGATTTAGTGTATTATTAGTTAAGTTTTTAGAAATATCCTATGTTAAAGAGTATAAAAGTAAACGACATTAACAATTATGTAGTTATTCGAATTTATTCAATACGTCAATGAATCATATTTAACAGACATATTTATAGTTACATGATGATAAGGAAGAGGACAGAAACCTGAGATAATTATTGTTACTGTGATAAGTTATTTATTGACGTGACCTAGATTTATGTTTGTATTTATTGTTTACAGTTTTTGTGTCTGAATGATTTTAAAATGACGGTTTCTTTTTTTTTGGTTTTCCGTTTCTTTAGAACACGTCTATGTGTATTATTTGATGGAATGTGGTTGGTTAAGAAGGTCATATCATTTACTTTCTCTCTATATATATTTACATTTACACTATTCTACACAGATTGAAGTTAGATGAATGGCAATGAAACTTTTCGAAAAAAATAACAAGGGTTACTATACATTTATTCGTTAATTGATAATTTGGCTACTGAATGCTGATTTCTTTTTTTATGTGTGTGTGAACAAAATGTAAACTCCATAAACTTTGTTTTTGGGACTCATGATTTTAACTACCATAGCGGTAGGTGAGTTACAAAAACTAACATTTATGTGATAAGTATAATAAATTTTTCCCCAATTCTAATGGCTAATAATAATGATAATAATAATCTTAAAATTAATTCTCATCAAGTCAAGTTATCAACTGAAGTTATATACAAATTACCTGTTCAATAATGTGTGTCTAGTTTTTTTAAGTTTTTTAAATTAATTATTGACAGTTCGTTATGAAAATTATTTGGAAGTTGTAATATAATTCGTAAAAGCTGAATGCAGACAACAGAATAAAAAAAAGCTTATCAGTATAGGGATTGTGGAGATTATTAAGTTATTGATTGAGACGCATCCATGATCCCGTCCGCGGGATCCGAACTCAAGGTCTTCAGTCTCTCGCGCGAATGCTTAACATACTGGATCACTGGGCTAGCCGGCATCCGATGGTGTTAATGTCTAACTTCAACCAATCTACGAAATTGCGCGATCATCTTACACCTGTCTCTACTCGACATGGATAAGCTCTACTGGTCACGACTCTTAAGTAAAACTCTGAGAATACCATCATGGAGCTAGTCACTAGTGAGCACATGGTAATTATCAATATAAGGGTTGTGGAGACTGAGGACCCTAGGTTCGAACTCCGTGAGTGGGATCGTGGATGTGCACTGCTGAGGATTCCCACAATAGAACGAAACGTCCGTCCAGTGCTTTCAGGTTTTCAATGGTGATCTAACACCAATCGGTTCATGATCTCAATAAAAAAAATTTGTTTGAAACTTAATTAATGTAAATTATCTGACGTGTATATAAGCTTGTATATTTAACTTTGACTAGAAAAGATTATGTAATGACTGAAGTGTTATAATGTGACTAAATTAACTCGAGTTGTTGAAGTGGAACTCAATAAATCATCACATTGACTGACGATTAAGTCCCTTAACCATTCAAAAATCGAAATCCTAGGAAAATAATGCATCGAATTTACAAAAATATGAAAGATTATTTAGTTTCTTCAGTGAAATATTCTGAATATTAGGTTAAGACAATAAGACTTAGAAAGAAACTATGACATAAGTTAATATTATTACCTTTTTTTAAGCATGAGAGAATAGTATTAACTTGATCAATGAGGATTATGTCATAAGGTCAAATTATGCACCCTTCACCTTAGACACGTTTTATAGTAATGATTTCTCGAAATTGGCTCGAAATAAAATCTTTTAATATTTTCTGAAGTAAGTTTGGTATTGTAATCATATATTCTTAAAGTCAGAAATTGTATATGTGACCCAAAACCATTCATTAAATCAACACTGAGATTTATATCTATTATAAAGAGTAGTTTACTATGAGATGTATTTCGAAGTAAACTGATGCCACTGAAAACCAGATGATGTTAGACATTCGTTTTGTTACATCTTGGAACTACTCCACTCAAATAAACTATAGTTTCATCAATAATGACTGAAATTAATCAATGTTAGTGAGGCTCTAATAAGAAATCGTGACTAGTAGATTTCAGATATACTTTCCTGCTAATTCGAAATACCTATTGAGGTCTCCATGATTTTCAATGATTCCACACCTGATATCGGTTCGTGATGAAAAACCTTCTTGCACCATATATCATAAAGTAATATACTTTCAAGGCGACTGTCATTACAAAATGATGTTGGCTAGGCAACCGCTAAAAACTATGGGACAAGAGACAAATGTTTCTCTGTAGTTTAGTACCAATCTCTGTAAATATTTGACGTTGGATGAACCAATATGTGAAAAGTTGATCAATATGCATGGTTGACGTATAGTGTTGATGATTATTCTGATTTGCAATTAGTTTCTTAGTTAAGTTATTTAAGTTTAATCAAAGTTTTCCACTAGCACAAATTGAAAATGTTCACTTTATGATAAGGAAATCATAAAAGAAACAAGAACATGAGGAACCCAGAAGTTTAATGGTGTCGAACTCCATTTAACTGAACAATGTTTCGTTTTCCTATATCAATAAAGAAGTTATAGAGAAGATATATGAAATTATCTAAGCGATTCTGATTGGTGTCCACTTAGTAAATCCACAGTAAACAAGTAGAAGAATGGATTTAAACATACAAATTGCGTTGCCGGTTAAAATTCATGTACTTAAGCAAAATAACAACCAAACTATTTGTTCTTTTTAATTTTTCCTCACCTGATTTCAATTTTCGATCAAAGCCCACTTAACATTGAACCAATTATTAACCTTAAAATTCCAATCGTGGCATGATGTATTCCTAGTTATATTTATAATCATCTTCAAATTAATTGAACACTTCATAAGTTGTCTATCAAATGCTCTCAATTTAATAAGTACCTTTATGGAATATTAGGTAACTGATTCTAACTGATTTTCATTCCGTTAACTGAAATATAGTTCTGTAAAGTTGAAATAATCAAAAGATTTCAGGTAGATTTTCAATATTTCGAGAAGAAAATCTAATTAATTCAAGTTCATTTATGAAAAGAAAAATGTCTTAATTCAATTTCAACACTTTGAGTTTTTCGATTAGTGAGATGCCCCTAAATGCTCTGTTACGGCAAAGAGTGGGGAGATTCAGCTCTCCCCCTCCAAATGCTCTCACATGGCCACGTGTATACAACCACTGCCAGGGAATTCCTACTCACTACCTTCTCGTGGTATTACTATTGTTTACGAAATTGGGAGGATGGAAAACAAACGTCTGGCGCTTTAACCGGGTTGGTGGATATGGAGAATCAACTTAGGGGAGTGAAAAAAAGCCCTGATTCTAAACTAATGGTGCACATGGGCTCCAGGATCTTAAAGGAACAAATCGAGTATAAACCTGTTGTTGGTCACTGGCTACCATGGAACTGCATCTTCTAATGTTGCACCACTGCCTTGTGGATTAAACCTCCAGGTCAAGGGCTCGGATGATGACCTCCTAAGAAAACCACCTGTCTCGGTTTTAGCACCCGGACAGTATTGTAGCCCTCACAGAAATCGAGTGATTTGTGTGGCGCATATGTATTTGGTGTCTCATTGTACCAATGTTTTTGTGTTTAAATAAATAAATAAAAATTAGTGAGATGAAAGTTTATTCATCTCATCTTCTGTTATATATTGCTGCTTCATATGAATAATCTTATTGGATAGTTTGTTTTTATCACTTTATACCAAACATCATTATTTATTACATTGTGTTTCATCTCGTTTTGTACTTTGTATTGGTTAGATATGATTTTGAAAGGGGTTATATATATATACTAAATAATAATTCTCTAAAGTTATATACATGGTATTATCTTCTAATATTCCCGCGAACGCAATAAGCCATAAGATACTAGGAAGTGTAGTTGTATTTATTGTCGATTTTTATTGTTCACTCTACTGTACTGTTTATCGACGTATCAATTCATTCGCTTATAATAATTTTCCAAAATAAAAATAAGTACTTTAGATAATTTAGTGTTTTATTGAATGTAGTAGTATATGAAGTTGTAGGTAGATAAGCACATTTGAGGAATATTTTATAACAACATGTCTAAAACATAATGACTGAGTTATTCAATACATTCTATGATTTTTCTTCATACAAACATCAACATTCTTTACTGTTATATGAAATGTTGTTGACACAAGCTACTTAAATGTTGTTTTGTGCTACGTTTGCAAATTTAAGTAACCTGTAAAAATATATTACTGGTATCGGTTGAGCATCTGTTCAAATTGTAAAGAAAGTATCTTTAAAACATTAAACATTATGACTTGAGTGATATTTTGAGAAATAATTATTCAGTAGTCCGAGAGACTATAATTTATGAACGACATTTGAGCGACGCTAAAGTGACCTTGAGAGTGTCTACCTACTTACTAGGGCTAAATGAGGGTTATATAGCAGTTTAAATAATAAGGATTATGATTTACAGTTGATAGTTAGGGTTAAGAATTAGATTTGGGGTTTTCATCACGAATTGTCATCAGCTATAATGCCAAGACTCTATTTAGCCAAATGTGGGAACGAATTTTGCGCCAAAATCTAAGACATGTTGTCGTAAACATGATTGGTTCTTCCATAAATTATAGTCTCGCTCAATAGTCATTTGTTTATGCCATCAACTTATTCAGTTTTAAACTAATCTAAAATACATTTCATCAATTGTACGTACATTCTGTGTCAGAAATGATAAGCATCAAGAAATATTAAATAGTGCTTATTAATGACCGGATTTAGGATAGATTTCGCAGAGTTATAACGGGAGGCTATAACCAATTGAAACACTCGAAGTAAACGCTCGATTAGTATGATTCGCATGAACAGCGATCACGATAAATTTACGCATAAAACTACGAACTGTTGAATTTAAACACATGGACTGAATACTATTGCAATGGCTAATCAATGAGTATTGAATTCTAACTCATATAAAA